GGGTCATAAGCTTGACCCGACCTGATGTTGACCTGAAAATTTGTCTACCTAACTTGGATTTTTCAGGTCAGGTCGGGTTGGGTCACAGGTTGACCTGACCTGATTCGGAGCTCTACACAAAGCATACTTTAACATCGACATACTGAGAATATTTTAGAAAATGACACTAAACTTCATAATGGGAAGTTAAAGATTCTCTCGCTAGCAAGAGAGTTAGGATAAAAAAATATATTAAGAATTGAGTGGACAGGTGTTTTAGAACAGAAACATCATCACATATCCTATGCGAGACCCAATTTCTATTTATTTCAATGTGTCACTAATAAAGAAGTTTTCACTATTTATTTTCTTTTTATTATTTATTTACTTTAAATTTGGTTCTATTTCAAAATTATTTGAGTTAATTAATCACTTCCATCCCCCTAAGGGGATAAAAATGAAGGTATCAGAGAACAACGAATTTCTAAATGTCCTTCTATTCCTACTTCTTTAAAACGAAAATACTATCACTAAAAATAATACCTGAAGAAGGGAAATTGGTATAAAAAGAAAATTTAAAACTATTTAAACACTATATAAGTTTATAATTTTATAATTCATAATATATTTAATGATTAACTTTAAATTTAAACCATTTTAAAAAAATGCGATTAATAATAATACCAACTTCAACATAAAATATGGTAATTGTTACTGAGAGAACCTTGATATAAAGCGGTAATAAAATTGCTAATAAAATGCCAAAAATTATACACAATATGATTATAATCTTTTTATAATAATAAAGGTTACCCTGCTATAATAGAATTAAAACCATAATAATTTCAATAGAAAATATGATAGCATTTAGAACGATCAAAAATAAGTTTAGTTTTTCCTCGTCATATTTATATATTATTATTTTAAGAACTGTTAAACTAATGAGGACAGCAAGATAAATCACAAAATAAATGACCTGTAATTCAATTTCCTAAATTTGTGAAAAAAAATGATAAAATTCGCTATAAAATTTGTAAAAATCTATAACAAAAATATAAAAAAAAATATATTTAACTAAACATACTAATTTTTCGTGGTAAGATCTTTCCTTGTCTAAAATTGCTTGAAGATAAACAATTCTACTCAGATTATTTCCAATAATGCTAAATGTTGCTTGATCTCATCTGCCTAATGTATCGAATGCCTCTTGTTGTTCAACGTTAAGAACGAGACTAGTGATACCTGACAAAATTATCTTTCTTAATATGACAAAATTGACGAAACCAAAATAATAAAACTAGTTTTTTATTAATGATGAAATTATTTTACTTAATTGCTGAAATTATATTTAACTTAATCTAAATTCCTTGAATTAAAATACATTAAAAATATAATAATTTTATATTTATTCATATAAAAATATTAAAGAGACAAAACTTTTGACGAAATTACAATTTTTTAAAAAAGAGTTTAGTCAGATATCACTAAACAAGACCATTAGGAAGTGAACGTCTAGGAGGCATTTGTTGAGTAATAACTATGAAGCTCAAAGAGAAGAAGTTTTTATGAAGTTTGGTTCAAAGTGAGTGAGTGTGATCTTATATAAAGAAAAATATGATTATCATTAATACACATATGTCCTATTCTGAATATTTGGTTTAAGTCTCATTTTTTGCAAAAAGTCAAATTTTACAAAAAAAAAGCAAGCAATTAAAAAAAAATATAGATTATAAAAGAAAGTTTACTTAATATTTATCAGGAAAATTTTAAATGTAAACCTTTATAAAATTTACATTAAAAGTGAAGTTTTATACTGTAATGTTGTGAAGGTTTATTAAGATTTTTTGTGATTACAAAATTTTGCTAGTTTTATCCAAATTTATAATGTTGGCTTGAATTAAATTTAACTGGTTAATTAACTAATTAAAGAATTATTTAATCAGCTATTAATTAGTTAAGAATTTTAAACTAGTTCTAATCTCTAAAATGAATCCTGATGATATTATATTTAAAGAATTTAAATTATTTTTATTAAATAAGTATGAATTTATAAAAGATTGTGAAGGCTTGATTAATCTTATAATTTTTTAAATTATAAATACTTTTAATTACATAGCTACTAATTTTGATCCAAAAGTTTTTCAACTTATAAAAAATAAAAATTTAAAATTAGAATTGTTAGATAATATTTAGTAAGGTATTATTGATCTAAATAAGTAATATAAGAAAATTTAAACTCCTAAGAAAAAAATACAAAACTTAGATTTGTGAATCTTTTGATTAATTCAATCTAAAATTAATAAATAATGTTTTAAGAATAATAGATGTATTTTCATTTATAATTTTATAGTTTATAAATTCAGAATTTATTAGATTTTTAGAAATATATATAGGTTTAATATTGGATTTGAATTATAAAATCTAAAAGTCTTAAAAATTTAAGAACTTAATAAAACCAACAACTTTAATAATAATTGACACTCAAATAGCTAGTTTACTCACATTATATATATATATCAAAATTAATCAATACAAGTTAAAGATTTTATTTATTTATTTTTTAAATTATTTTTTCATATTAAAATTATGAATTAAATATTTCTTTAATTAAAAATATTTTATGTGAAAATGAATTTTTATTGATGTATTATATATAAAAATGCTTGTTTAAACCTCTTAAAATTTTAATAGAGAGTTTAATATAATTTTATTATAGTTTTTAGTTTCAGCATTTACTATAATAGTTTTAACATTTTGGTAGTAATTATAAGATTTAATATAATTTTGACAAAGTTTCAGTATTCCAACAAGTGAAAAAATCCTCTAATTTCTCTAGCAATATAATAATTATTACTTATTTACTACAATTAGAAAATAAATAAGTTATAGACGTGTCAGAAATCAGCTGATTTTCTTTTATTATAAAACTGACCTCTTCTTGATAATCAATTTAATTGACTAAAAAATATTATATAAACTAATTATTAAAATATAAATATAACCCTTAAAATAAAATAAAAAAATTAGAGTTAAAATTAAATTTTTGGGTTTTTAAATAGTCATAATTATTCTGAAGAATTATCATAATAATATCATATTAAATAGTTTATTTTATTAATAAATTACTATAACGATACTGCAATATAATCATAATATAGAAATTATATATTAGTAAAAACAATTTAAACAATTTGTTAAATTTATTTTAAATTTTTTTTTTAAAGTTATATTAAACATTAAATCTAATAAAATAGCTATCTAGATGACTTCAGTTTATTAATATGAAAAGTTTCATTCTTTATGCAATGATATTTTTATTTGTAATTCAAAATTGCAATAAATATGATCGATAAATAAAGCAATTGAAAGAGAAATTTATATGTGTAATTATCTAATCCTATAAATTTATTTTAAAATAAAATACTTTAGATAATAGCAAAAAAAAAATATTTAAATAATATTTTTTTTTTAGTAAGAATTTGATAGCTATGTCTTGTCAATTGCTATGTCACTCAATAAATGTTAATAAGTAATTAAAATGTTAAATTAAATTAGTTAAAAAATAATAGTTTAATAAATAATAATTAAATAATTAAAGTTAAATAAAACAAATAAAATTAAAATTAATAAATAAACTTATTTTTTGGTTCATAAATTTCTTTTGTTAAAAGATTAAAACTTCTTAACAGAATCAAAACAATCAGATAATCTATTTGTCATCTCAATGCATTATACAAATAATTATTATACAGTAATCAGTGTGATGATTGTGATGATTAATGTAATGATATAAATCTATAGAAAAACTGTGTTTTTATGTTTTTACATCTTTTTTACATACTTTTTTTAAAAAAAATTAAAAAAATATGTAAAGCTTTTTAAAATACTAAACTTTAGCAAAGATTTTTTTATAAACTGCCTCGAGACTTATATCAAGAATTTTGTAATGCTTATGCGTATTACAAATAAGCTACACTTTGTGATCTAAAATTAAACTGCTAAAAATTAATGCAAAAATGTATAATTATTTGAAAGAAAATAAAAAAAACAATGCTACTTTTATTAAAGATAAAATTTGTGAATATTATGAAACTATTTTTTCTATTCTTCACTTATATTAAAGACTTTTTGTATCATATAATATGGATATAAGTTCTAATTATACTAACTAATTCACTAAATCTATCATATATCCACTTCATCTGTAGGATTAATCAATACTATAATCATACCAAAAATGCTATTTTATAGTATAATGCAACTAAACAGATCAATTTAGCTACTAAGAGTATATCTGAATACTAACAAATGATAAAAATTATAGCGAATAGTTCATTAAAAGATATATTATCATCCAAAATTATTGAAAAGCAAAAAAATTGTATCAGAGTAAAGTATTGATTAAAAAATTAAAGCGTTGATATCAGATCATATCAAAAGTATTACATCATAAAGATCTGCAAAAATGTTAACACTTTCAACTCCGTTAACATTCTCAACTTTATTAACATTACCAACATTTTTATATTTAACATAGTTTTATTATTTATAATAGTTGGATTATATATTATATGTATTAATTATTTTATTATTATTAATTATTTATTTTATAATAACGTTATATATAGATTTTTTAATAATTGTATTTTTGTATAAATAAGATAATGTAAAGTTCAAATGAAAGAATAACTCAGAGTGTGAGTTCAAGAATTCAGATAACGAGTTCAGGGTTTAGCATTCAAATGTAAAGAATTCTAAGAATACAAATTCTACAATAAAGGAATCTTTCTTTCTACATAATAATCTACACAAAACCCTTTAATGTGTTTACTTATTATTAATTGTGATAAAGGTTGATCGTAATAGGACTTATTTCATAGTAATTTTAGATTAATTATACGTATTACTCCCTGTTATCAAGTCATCATTACCCTAAGTTCGATGGTTGAACGTAGGGTTAACAATGTATAGGGAACTTTAATAAGACATATATCTTGCTCCTTGCATATATCCCGCTTCTTCTAATCTCGTGATTTTTGTTTATCCAAATCTATATCTTCTCTCCTATAGAACATTGAATTAAGACTATAATATTGCCAACCATGGAATTTGAATGCTAGTTGTAGTTCTTCGTTATACTCATTGAGTTGCATTCTATTCAAAAATGATGGTCTACAGGATAGGAAATTTTGTCTAACAGATCCTTGAAAATATATTATACATTTCTTTCAGTAGTATGATGACAAAGAGAGCACCACTCGAATTTCTTCATGATGTATTTTACTAGATATTCCCATTGATATACACCATCCTTACAAGACCAAAGATATACATTATGTCTATTTATTTCTCCAGTCTTTTCCAGACATTGATCACCACGTCTTTAGGCATAACTAATGGCTTGGTTTAACTCACTATTGATAGGAGAAGCATGAACGAAATTTACGGATAATATACTTTGAGGTGGATACCTAACTTTTTCTGGATCAACTATTAACATGAGTTCTTCTTGAACAAATTCCTGTTTTGGTGTAAATTTATCACCTTTAAGATAATATAATACTAGCTCATTCTTTATTACTACAATTTTTTCAGATTTTATGAATAGAAGGTGAGTATGTGAGATCAGTAACCCTCTTTTGATTTCTATTCCTACTTCCCATTCTGCAATAGCAAAAAGATATCAAATAGTATCACTTTTCTTTAACGTTATTTCATCTTTCCTAACTGGACGCTTATATTTGATGGATGGTCTTGATTCTACTTTTTCTAACATGATAGCTTTTATAGGTGTAAAACCTTATTTCTTAGTCCCTAGTTCTCAAATAAGACATGTAGAATAATTATTTAGATAATCAATAACTATAGGCAAATGCCTAACCTATACTTTTATTAATTTCGAATTGGAATATATAGATTCAACAGCATCTTGGATTTTATTATGAATGTCTGGTTAAAACATTCTAAAAAAGCCACTCTTTGATGAGAATATAGATCAATTACTCAAATAGTAACATTATGCTTCTTCATCAATCGAGAAGTTTTCCCCATAAATTCACGACCTTCATCATATTGTAGAAGCTCTGACCATACAAGTGGATTATTAGGATTATCATATATTTTTCTGAATGCTCTAGCAACTTCTGAACTCTTCTTCAATGTGAGTAGAATAGAAGCCTTATATCGGGAAGCACAATCTATTATATTAAGAATGCTATATAGTTTTTATACTTATAATGATTATGTAAGGAATAACAAATCACATTGGTATATGCAATTTGGGTATGTTATTCGGCTATAGCTATATCTAGGAATATTCTTCAGGGGAGTTTTATATATTTGGTATATATGTTACCATTCTAAAAAATCATGGCATTATTTTAGGTGAAAATGATGCTCTTCTTTTTACATGCATCTTTTAAGGATTTAGAATTAGAATAATACCCAGTTAGGCAATAATATATATCACGCAATATAATATTTTTTTCAATTCTCTGGACCTTATCAGAATCTATTTGGATTATAGAAACCCTTGCTTCTTTACTCATCCTTTTTTTATTTCTCAAAAGATAGAACTATCTATAAAAAAAAGATAGAATAATGCTGATTATACATGAAGTCGAAATGGATCATTTTGGATATCTGAAATGGTTGAAATGGTCGAAATCATTTCGACCATTGGAGGCTGAAGTCGCAAAATAGTCGAAATGACGTTATATCACATGATTTTTATATAGAAAAAACAAAAAAACAAAAGATGTACGATCTCGGTCAATATCGCTCCGATTCGTATGAAACAACTACCATTCGATTGCTCAAAACTAGGCGGATCCAATGAGCTAACATTCATTGATTTTAGATCATCCAATCACGAGATACTCGTAATTGTATTATTGGCTGAAATTATAAATCCATAAATTCTACTTTAAATAAAGGAGTCCGAATTTTGAAAAACGATCGCAAATATCTCGAGATGGGATGATCCAAAATCAATAAATGTTAGCTCATTGAATTCGTCTAGTTGTGAGAAATCGAATGGTTTTTTTTTTAACGATGTAGTACTGTCATAACTTTATTAAATTTTTATATGCTATTATAATAAAATTAAAATAAAAAATAAAGTAAAAAATAAAAAGACAAAACTATGACTATTTCACGTGATTCTATTACTAAAAAATAGTTCAAACACATTTAGATCGACTAATCACCGGAATTCCCTTCCAACAGAATCAAAAAATCCATATTTGATAATCAAGTTATCATAAAGAAATTCAAATGAAGTTATCAGTACCTATTAACGAAATCTAACCAAGAGTTATCGAATTTGATGGCCAAAGTTAACCAAGACTTCCAAGTCACTGAATTTTTATCCAATCTCTAAGAAGAAAGCCGAGTGGTAGTTGTGTGAGTGATATGAACGGTCATAGCAGATTTCTTTTTCTTCTTTTTCTTCAATTTTTTTAGTTTTGAAGAAATCCCTACAGACCTTTCCTTATCGATTAGTTTATTACAACGAGGAAGCCAGATCATGTTATGAAAGATTTGGATAAGATGATTGGTAGTTAAACTAATGATGAGAGAAGTGTTGACTGAAACGAATAAGAAACGTAATAAGTGAAAGAGTTCAGAAGGGATTAATCCTTTTGTTAGTAGATAAACTGAATCTGAATAAGAATGAAGATCAACACAGTTGTGAAGCCGAGATTTCAATGACTGAAAAAGGGCTAGACGAACAGGATTCTTGCCCAACTTGCTGACGATCATTTGTTCCAAAAAATTCCATAATGAAATATTAAGGTTACTAACGGTGGCTTGGTTGGCAGGACAGGTCCACAAGTGATTGAGATCTTCTGCTGCATTATCGCAGGTGATACAATTCCAATTATTGTAGAGATCTGGA